AGCGGTGCATGTGAACGGGCTTGAGAGGAAGAAAAGAAGAATGTTAGAACATAAAATCCTCATTAAATGGGTATTAGTAAGGAATATTTAACTGATGTAATGAGTTTTTGTGAATAAATTTCTGTATTCGAGATGTATGAACGTTAAAATATTCGAAAATATAGCTGAGATTTGGGTAAAGTGTCTCTTACTGCTTCTTTCTTTGATTCCTTCTGTAACTATAGGTATATTGGTAATGATATTTGCTGTGTAAAGGTATGGTAGTGTTTCACAAGATTTCGTTCATAAAGAATAAATTGGTAAATAAATTAATGAAAACTGACAAAACTCACGAAAGAAAATCCTAGTATAAGAAATTAAAAAATAGACTATATATGCAATTATCTAGGGAAATTTATTTGGAACTGAACTAGGTTCGAAGAAATGTGTTAACATTATGCACTAGAAATAAAATTATATCGATTAAACAAAATTTCAAGAGCTGAAATAATAACCAATGGGTAAAGTCGATGGTTATTCACCTCTCTTTCGATACTGATAATGTTTATCGTAGGAATTTCTTTTGTATGTGTAATTTAAATAATCGTTAATTTCGCATGAAAGTTGTCGATGAAGGCAGAAATATCCGTACTTAGTGCAGGAAAGAGACAATAATGTGAAAATTTGCATAGTCGATACTAAAGTTTAAAAATAATAGTATGCAATGTAGTCAATTATAAAAAAATACTGAATTGAAAGCTATTAAGCTTTCAAAATAATAAGTCTTCTGGATGTGTTCATGAAACTGTGAATATGGTTCTAAAATTATGCATGAATGTAGTGAATTCATTCTAAAAATTGGGAATCTATCAAGTTAGCTTTATGAGAATCGAGATTCAAAACCGAACATCGGTAACACTGAAGAGCTTAAAAGCATGCATTCAGATAAAAATGATGTAAAATCTTTAAGGAAATATCAGAATATGCAGGAAATGTTAAAGTTTGAAAATGCGAATGAAGTTAATAATGAGGTAAAATAGAACAGTCATGGTAAGAGTGCTACAGAATGATAATCTGTAGAATTGGGAAATTAAAATAGTACTATAAAGACTAAGTAAGGCCTATTCAACGCATTGGATATAAATAATAGTTATCGGTTGTAAAATAAAATGCTTAATTGAAAACTATCTCTATGTTTAAGACATTTAAACATGTAAATTTAGCTGAAATAGTAAAATGAAATGCGTGATTACAATCGAAAATCATAAAAAAGAGTTAAAATTTAGAGTATGTTGGAAACTAGAAATGAAAAAAATCTAAAAAGTATTAAAATTACATCTAAAATTAATTAAAGTTCATGAATATTGTAGGAAAATGTAATAAACAAGTTCAAAATTAGAGTACTTTAAAAATTATGAAGGTTTGAAATGTACGAAACATGTTAAAAATAGCATCTAAAATTCAATACAGCTCATATAAGGTCAGAAAATAAATAAATTAAACTAACATTAAGGATATGTTTGAAATTACGAAGATTAAAACGTATAAAAGTAGCTACAAATTAACTGAAAATCATGTACATAGTGTGAAAATATAGCAAATTAGTTAAAATTTAGAGTACGTTGGAAACTAAAAACGTTAAAAAATAGAAAAGAAATTAAATTTTACATCTAAAATTAAATAAAAGTCAGGTATATGATCTGAAAATATAGGAATTATGTTAAAATTAAGACTGTATTAGAAATTATGAAGGTTAAAACGTATGAAAGTAGCTACAAATTAACTGAAAGTCATGTACATAGTGTGAAAATAAAGTAAATTGTTAAAATTCAGAGTATGTTAAAAACTAAAAAAACGTTAAAAAGTAGTAGGAAAGAAGTTGAAATTTACATCTAAAATTAAATAAAATTCAGGTATATGATCTGAAAATATAGGAATTATGTTAAATTTAAGACTGTATTAGAAATTATGAAGGTTAAAACGTATGAAAGTAGCTACAAATTAACTGAAAGTCATGTACATAGTGTGAAAATAAAGTAAATTGTTAAAATTCAGAGTATGTTGAAAACTAAATAAACGTTAAAAAGTAGGAAAGAAGTTGAAATTTACATCTAAAATGAAATAAAATTCAGATATTTGATCTGAAAATATAGGAATTACTTTAAAATTAAAACTATATTAGAAATTATGAAGGTTAAATCGTGTGAAGGAAATTAAATAAAAGTCATGTATATAGTGTGAAAATATAAAGTATATTAAATGTTATGAAGGTTAAAATATACAAAACAAGCTGAAAATGTTACATCTAAACTTAAATAATGGTCGTGTATATGATCAAAAAATGTGAGAAATAAGTTAAAATACAGAATAGGTTGAAAATCAGTAATGTTAAAACGCTCGAAAAATAGTTAAAAATTACATCTAACATTGAATAATATAATAAATAGAAACGCGTGATTTAGGAATTACACTCGTAAAATGTAACAAATGAGTTGAAAGTACTGGGTTAAAAGGCATGAAAAATTCTATGTAAGATGAAATAAATAATAAAATGAGTCATGTAGTTAAGATTATGACAAGTAAATGTGGTATTATGAACAGAAGATTTAAGAAATAAGTTAAAATTCTGAGTGTATAGGAAATTATAAGGCTTAAAATATATGAAAACATTAAAAAAAATATTACATCTAAAATTAATGCCTTTTGAATCAATCATTAAATTCGAAAATAAAAGCCGTTCAGGACACGTAGGAAATAAGCATTGTATACCTAGTAAAATAGTTGGGATACAAAGAAAAAATATAAAGGCTAAACATTGATTAACAAAAACCATGGGAAAATTCAATCAAAGCTAATCTCTTATCAAAGTGTGTCCTCATTTTATCAGTTAAATAAAGAATCTCCAAACACTCTTATCTGCTGCGCCTCCACTCTACCCCTTCATGTGATACCCCATGGAGGTAGGAAGTTAGATGGAGTGGCCCTAAATTGGTTTCCTCATACCCTGCTTTGAAGCACTGGGGATCCCTTCTTTGGTGACCAAAACATTGGGTAATTTACCATTGAGTTCAATGGGTTTGGACACGATCGGATGTAAATATTTTGTAATTACATCGTAAATATGCATATAAATGTATATATTTTCTTTTTGTACAATACTTCAGAGTCCTAAGTATATGAAAAGAATACATTTTTAAACAACATTTCATTCTGAACGGAATTAAATGCTATACTTTTCACAGTACAGTTTGCTCAGGATGGTTTAATTTGAATGAAATATTTTCACAAGTTTTCGTTAATTACATTAGAAAGAAATTTTAAGGTAATTCGATTTTGTTCGGTTAAGGATTACAAAAATTAAGATCAAAGTTTATTGTATTATTAATATTAAAATTATGCATTATTTCTTTTCTTATAGAGCTTCTTCCTAAAATACTTTCTCAAATATAACATGATTTTTAGCTTCTGAGGCATCTTTTAAATCGAAAAATATAAATCAATTTAAAAGTAATGCTCTATTCGGTCCATTTCAAATTAGAGCACCTTTTATTTTAATAGTGAAATACTTTAAATAGTATTTAACTTTATCTGAATATTTCTGAAAGGGAATAAAATAAGGAATTTTTTAAAAATATTATTTAAAACTTATAAGTGAGTTATTATAAAATGTAAGGGTTGTGCATAATTCTTTAATTTCTGTGCATTCACTGGATTTTTTTACCCTTACTTTCAACAAGTACATATTCCAAAACTCTTCTTTATTACTTTAAAGTACGCATCTCATAGAAATTGCTTTACAATACCTTTTACAGATTGCTTTCTAGTACAAACAATCCTTGCTTAAATAGTTTTCATAACGTATTTGTCAACAGGATGTCAATTTATGGTTTACAATTCAATGTTAAGGTTATTTAGATAATATTTATAATGGATTATAAATTTAGATATATTTAATAATTAGATTTCTTCATAGTAGCTTTTCACAGTTGTTTATGAATGAATAAATCCTTCATTTCAAATACATTTATAAATAATTTAATAAATATTTACGTATTTTGTTAAAGGCAGATGCATGCTTTTTGCAAGCACATGCATAAATACCCATACACATTTCATATTTTTCATTTCCGGCATGTAGAAATCTTTAATTTCTGTGCATTCACTATGTTTTTCAAATAAAGTAATCTACACTAATTTTAAAAAGTACATGTTACAATAATATGTGGATGTGAAAAAAAATTATTTTATTTAAAACATTTTGGCGTTTGGAACATAAAATAAAAGTAGCGAATACTCTATCAAGGGTATAGAAAGATGTATGCAATTTTAAAGGTATGGTGAGGTATTTTTCATTCTTTAAGCGTAACTTTTTTGCTAAAATCTATATTTTTGTAGTTCAACAGCTTAGAATTTTATAAAACAAATTCATAATCAAAATCGCTGTGCTTAGTTATTGAAAAATAACCAAGATGTGATTTTTTGCTTAAATGCCACTAAACTATACAAATTGCTATTATCCATCACACTATGAATGTTTCTTTATGCGGAAGTGTCCCGCTTTTCGATTTGTATGGAACTGTCTCGTGTGTGTCGAAATACTATCAGAGCGCTGTCAAGCGAGCTTCTGAATGTGAACAAAAAAAAACACCCCATCTGGTGACCGAAGCTTCGGAGCAGTGCTTCACTTCTAATGCCGGTTTGGTCACTCCTTCCTTTCTTACCTCCATGTGATACCCTGCATGACGTAGCCTCCCTTCCGCTAACATCACTGGCCATGCCCACAGCGCGTGCAGGTGAACTGTCGTTTTCTATCTACTAAATACTAAAAACTGTAAGAAATGGGGTTTCTTTTGAGTGAATAAATAACTACAGACTATTAGTTGTACATTCAAAACAGAATATTAGTTAATATAAATTAATTGAAGAATATTAGATGCACTAGTCGTATTAGTCATTATTTACATTTTCTACCTTTATAGTCTTATCCCAAAATTTTGTCAGGAAATTTTGTGTATTTTTAGGTTCTACGTATCCTTTCTCTTGTAAGTTCCAAAAGAGAATCCTCATCTTCCCTTTCTATTACCCAATTATCATCTCAATCATATATTCGAGGACTTTATATTCAAGGTGCAATCAAAGTAAGTTTAAATTCTTTTTTTATGAAATATAAATTGTCTTTTTTCATAGATATGTATATATTAAAAGCTTTGGCACTGCTTTTCTGTTGAGCTGGAAACTAAGTTATGCAGAGTGTTAACAGTGTTACGAATTTTTTACATAGATACATGATTTCAGTGCAGTTATATGTGAAATTGGTGTACTTCTTTGTGTAATGTTACATGAAAAATAACTGTATTGATTTCATATGTAGCGATAAGTGCTTTCGGCCCTCATATGCCTTCGAGTAATTTCGTGAAGTACTAGAAATATCTCGGCGGCCGAGTAAGAACTGCAACGAAGAGCCAAAACATTATGATCACCTACTCAATAACGCATTGCACGATATTTGGCCTACAAAACAGCTGCAACTCGCCTTGGCATTTATGCCACAAGTTCTTGGCAGTTTGCTGGAGACAGGCTGTGCCAAATGTCTTAGCAGCAGTCACGCCAAGTCGAGATATTCCGACGTGGTGTTTGAGCTTTGAGCTGGCACTTTGTGATTTCCTAAATGTGCTCTATGAGGTTAAGATCCGGCGAGTTAGGTGGCCAGGACATTAATTGGAATTCATCCTTATGCTTCTTGAACCACTTCAACACAATGCAAGCTCTGTGGCATGGGGCGCTATTCTGCTGGAAGATTCCATTTCCAGTTCGAAAGACAGACGTCATGTAAGAGTGCAAATGATCCGCAGTTATGTTCAGATAGTCCGCAGCTTTCATGGTCTGTTCTACCACAACTAAGGGTCCAAGAGCCGCTCTTGAGAACGTCCCCCAAAGTATAATACTGCCGCCACCTATTTGTATATGACCTATTGTATGGGGGGGGCAGAAAATGTTTGCTTGGAAGACAACGTATTTTGACATGACCATTGGCGTGATGAATGCGAAATCGTGATTTATCGCACCAGGCAACTGTCTTCTACTTATCCATGGTCTAGTTTTGATGATTCTGGGCCCACTGTAGGCGTAATTGACAATGACGCTTGGTCAAAAGAAGCACACGAGTGTGACCTCTGCTGCGCAGTCCCATATCCAACAGTGTCCGCTGAACTGTGTGTTCCGAAATACACTTGGACCCACATTGTATTGGGCTGTCAGCCGAGGCACTGTATGACGCTGATTTTGCTGTACCAAGCGAGACAGTCTCCGATGCCCTTTTTTCTGATGACGCGTGGACGTCCAACACCTTGGCGTCTACTGCTGGTTTCACCGCCATTTATCCACTTTGCATGAATATGTAGCGTTTTTTTTAAGTAAGAGCCAGTTTGGTGTATACACTAATAGGTGGTGTCGTGTCTCGGCATTCCTTAGAAACTACTGTGTGCAGTTGCAGCTGTGTAGGTAACCTGTACGGTATGTGCTGCGTCTTTAAAATATTCTAGATTATCGAATTGCCCGTCTCGTGCGAGGTACTGTCAGTATACGTTTTTTGTTGGCAAGAAACCTGTCTGCTGCAGACATTTAGTGGCTTCAGTTGAAGCGAAAATTGTTGAGAACAGACGCTTCACCATAAGCACTCTTTCGAACAAATTTCCTGAAGTGTCTAAGTCAGTGCTGTACTAGATTGTTTCTGAAAAGATAAGGTTTAAGAAACTGTGCTTCCATTGGGTCCCTAAACTTCTAATGGAGGACCAGAAAAACAAGATTTCGGTGTTCACTGAATTGGATCATTGAAGCATTTACTACCTTCAAATGAAGACCTAACACGTAATGGATTATAACATGCTTTTATTTGGATACAATACGAACTGCTTTACACAATCCATCATATAAGTTATTGCACTTCAGTTTTTAAACTTTTCATTAAAAAGCCATGATAATACCTCTGGTGAGCATTACATGCCCTCCTTGCTTCTTCTGAGAGATTTATCTACTGTCTAAGTATTGGATTCATGTGTTTTCTTTGGTAATCCAGGATGCTGGAGACAAACTGATTAATTTGTGAGATTAATAGATGATTACATAATATTTAGTGTAGACATGATTATGGCCTAATCTACATTAAATATGATTACATAATATTTAATGTAGATTAGGCCATAATCATGTAATAAATCTCAATAAAAAATCTTATGTCTGTGATGACTATCAGCGAAGCATTTTACAGAATCTCTTAAATTATTTGTGCGTACTTAATTTAAAAAAAGCGAGGTTATTCACGGTTATCAAAGAGGTTTTTGGAAGGTAAGTTCTTGGAAGAAAAAAATCCGTTTTTTAACTTCTCCTTCCGAAACCGGGCTCTAATAAGAGGTTCCTGGGGTCTAGACGCTTGTGTCCTGTCGTCTACGGCTAAATGTCTTGCAGGCTAACTGGTGTCGGTTAAACGTTCCGGCAGTTACCTGACACGGACTCCTCGCAGACCGACAAACGAGCCTCCTAATATTCCATCACACATTGCCACATTCGCAGCAACGTTTTACTTATACTACAGGTATTCAAGATACATCATTCTTATTTTCAATAAATGCAAATGTTAATTATCTCTTCCAGGATGTAGAAAAAGGAGTCCAGTGCCTATTAGATAAAGCATATGAGGAATCCTCACCATTAACTGTTATTGATGCAGATTTATTCAAAGTATGGCAGACGATAACAGTGTCGGAAAATGCTGAAAAAGAAAAGTAATTTTTAGATGTTTCATGTATTGGACTAACAGTCTTTGTATATTTATATTTGATGTTGTATATTTGTATTTGATGTAGTAGCAAATGTCTAAAATATTTATGTAAAATTTTAGGAATCCCCCTTCTGTTGTGACTGAAACTGGATGTTTAGTGCCTGATCTCATAAATGATGTATGATTTACTTCAACTTATTTATCACTTAATTTCTCGTTTATTTTTGTAGGTGTAGAAAATCAAATCTTTAATTATGCTTTAAAATTTTGTGGATTTATATTTTTAAAGTATGGTCTGAAATATTTTCTGTGTTTTTCTTGTTTCTTATATTTGTTTAAAGTGATAAGAAACCTCTATTCTTTTTTTTTTTTTTTTTTTTTTTTTTTTTTTTAAGTTGTACATATCTTGGTGCGTACGAACCTGTGAAAAAAATTCTTGTATTTTCTTTATTATGCACAATGTTTTTAGGTAAACTTTTCAGATGACACTTTATAGGAACAGTTTTTTTTTGTAAGATTTTTTTTTTTTTTTTTTTTTTTTTTTTTTTTTTTTTTTTTTTTTTTTTTTTTTTTGAGGGATTGGGGTAATAAAATGTGAGAATGATATAAGCTGACAAAGGAAATGCTTGAATGTGTTAATTTCTTTTATAGCGTTAACTATCTGTATGGATACTGATGTCAAATGACTCAATGTATTCTTTAGTTTTGCTTCATGTTATTTGTTAAAAATTACCATATATTTTCGAATATAAACCAATTCATGTTTTTTCTGTTGCCAAAAGTATGTTTTTTCTTCAAACATTTACCCATAATTCAAAACCTGTATATGAGCCAGTATAAAGAAACACATGTACGTTCAGACATGTCGCCATGAAGGCAAAAATATTTATATATCCAAACAAATTAATGCGAAGTAAAACATCAGACACCAGTGTTGAGAGTTTTAACTCTGGTAACCCTATCTGAAGCAAGTACAATTTCCTCATTCATTAGTTTTGTGTTGTATACTATCTGTGGTATCTTTGTTAGTCTTATTTTCTGTGCCATTTTATTTTTTGTCTGAAAGAGGAGTAAGGAGAGAAATTCGTATATGGCAAATTTCAAGCTAAAGGTGTTTGGATTTGCTGAAAATTTTAACAGTATGGCTGCTCACATTTCTCTGTAAATGAAAAACAAGTTCGAGATTATAGAAAAAAAGTCATTTAGTAGAAATAACTAAGTCATGAAAAGAAGTACGTGGTCGTCAGCTTATATTTCATACCTTGGAGGAAAAATTCGCCTCATGCATTCAAAAATCGTGAATGAACGGTTTTATTGTATTATTAGCTATCTGAATCAAGTTGCTGATTAAAGTGATTTTCTTTTTCGATTCTAATTTTTATTTGCTAATTCATTTATGATATTCTGTTATTATTTCTTGTTAAGTTTTTGCATTTTTCCGTTAGCAGGTGCAAATTAAACCAACATCAGGTTGTAGGGTTTATATTTATTTTAACTAACATTTATTTTAAGTTTAAACTATCTCTCCTGTCAAGCCTTACTTTCCCCTGGAACTGCCAATGCCAGAGTATGTAAATTTTAGTAGAACGCACAAGGATTCAAATTATCAGCGGAAGTATTCTGAGTTAAATAGAATGGAAACTAGTTCAAGGTGTGCTGTTCTTACTTCACGAGCGCGGAGGTAGTTAGCCAGAAATTGAAGAACCCCGCGTTTCGGCCTGTGTGCTTGCCTAGGAGAATTGTTAATCGTTCAACGTGATATTCAAAGTTTGCTGAATTAGCAGCGGTATTGTTAAACGCGGTGAGGTTAGTTACGTTTAGAGAGCCTCGTCGTTAGAGTCTTATTATTATTTCTTTTCAGGTTCTTATTTTATTTTACCGCCGGGTCGGCGTAGTTTGTGAGCGTCAAGAGCACGCAATTGTAATTTCTTAAGGTGAATAAAAAGGGACTTAAACCCTTAGCAAGACTCTGTTTAAATTCCAGTTTCAACAGTCACCTCTTGGTTGCGTGCAGGTTGGAGGCGCGCAACTCTACAAGTTTTTTTTTTTTTTTTTTTTTTTTTTTTTGCTTTGGCAGTGATACAGGAAATCAGGAATATGAACAGTTTCAAAAATAAAGCAGCTCATTTTCATAAAATCAGCAACTCATTTTATTTAAGCCTCTGGTTTTATTTAACCCACGGGTTTTTTTATGTCATGAAAACCTGCATTTAAACAGTATTCATTAACTAAATTTCAGTAATTACTTACTTTAGTATCTGTTTTCATAAACTTACATTCATTAAGACGACATTTTCATTATTTAAGAAAGCTAAATGTCCTGAATTAAAAGCTAATATATATATAAAGTGACAAAAAAATTATGACCGGATAAAGCCAGTCATTCTGCTTAGACAATTAATATTAGTTATTTTCATAAATTTAAGAAATATAAACTAATAGAATAAACATAGTGCTATACCTGGTGATTTATCACTTGCACGTGCATAACAGAAAAGTAGCTATGTTTTTTGCTCAGATTAGTAGATCCGTATATAAGTCAACCTCGGTAACTTAGTTTAGAAATTGTTCCAAAAATGCTTACCTTATATATGGAAATATATGGTAGTGTACAGTGACCTGGCATTTCCCACCAGGCAGGGATTGCCCCACATCTGAACTAATTATCCTGTATTCATTCTGCTTTCATTTAAATTTTAATCCCTCAAATCTTCCATTTCTCAAAGCAACCCTAAAAATAAAATGTAAAATTAAGATATCTTTAAAACTCAATTTGCATTTAATAAATAAGTACTTATTTTACTGCATATATTTATCTGACTTAAATATATGCATATTGTGTCAATATGGTCAGTTTAATCATGTTGTTGCTGTTGAAATGCAGATAATGATATCTGTTGGGAAGGTGAATGTAATTTGTTGATTTTTGTCAAGTAGTGTTTTTTCATTATTTTGTGTTATTACAAAAAAAAAAAAAAAAAAATGTAATTTTTGGGTCCTGTTTTATGTACCCTACATAATTGTATATGTTGTTTTTAATTGTTTCTATTGTATGTACTGTTTTTAATTGTTAAATATTCTCATCTCTCCCTTTCCTTTAACTGTTACTGTCTCTCATTTGAATTGAAAACATCTGATCATCTTTTGCCTGCGTTACTTTCATCATTTGTTGATAACATTACTATGTTTTTTACTAAAATAAAATCCATATAAATGGTCTATTACAATCTTAGAATATATTGAAACATTGATTTAGTTAGCGAATTTAATTTCGTACGTAATTTTTTTTTTTAGTCCACAGGGGCTTTGTCCCTGAAGGACTATTGTTTTCATTTTGCGATTTTTGCGTCGGAACCCTATAAACAGCGTATCACTTTTCAAATCGTTGCTACCAAATACTATCGCCCTGTATTATATTTGAAGAAATTAAATAATGAAGAATCTGCATAAATGTATGTATGTTTCTTGCATTGTGATAAAACAACGCTACCTACAGCCGTCCAATTGTGAATGATGTAATCCTACTGCGAATATTGACATCTGAAAGCCCAGTTTTGAAATTTGGAATTTTTTTTATTATCGATTTCATATTTTGTAAAACTTTAACGAATTTTTGATTAACAAACTCAACGATTTAAAAGCAAGCAATGGCAACACTCTGCGGGAGGGGTGGGAACTTTTTATCTCCAGCTCGCGGAACTGTGTATCATAAATTCTAAAGATATGCTAATTTTAAAATTATTTTGCGAACATTGCTTTTGAACTGAATTTTATGGTTTAAGTGCAAAGAACATGATATTTAATAAATAAAGATAACACAGAAAACGTTTAAAAAAAACCCTTTGGATGTAATTTAAAATCTGAAACCTTTCAGATCCCCCCCTCGCTTCCAGGTTACGTATTTTAATGAAGAGTTTCAGTTTAGCTTATGGCTAGAGTTTAAATTTTATTGTTTCTGAAACGTAAATATATAACTATATTGGAATATTTTCTCTGTGGAGTATGTAATAACAGATGAATGCTTTTTCACTGTCAGTGGAGTGTTTGTTTCTGATGGTGAAAATGAACAGAACATGCTGCTTTGAATCAGATATCAGTATTTTTTTATCAATTATCTTGCAGTAAATTTCCTCATAAAGAAGTTAATTAAACGTTTTCTGCCCTTAACATTAATGTGCAATGTGTCAGTGCATTGGCTGGAATTTGCTAGTTTTAAAGAAATGCTTTGCAAGCTAATCTGATATTTTTACCTCATTGATTATGCTACATTACACTCAAAGGCCCGTCCACACGGGTACGCTCGTGATGTAGTTGACGCAACTGTTTTGACGTCGGCGTAAATTCGCGTGCCGCAGAAGACGTAAAACTGAGTTCGCTCCTGTTCAGCTTTTATGTCCGTAAGGTGAACGAACAGCCAGTAGCCAACCGAGTTCTTATCACGTGTCATAATCAGAAAACCTTTTTGCTTACTCCTTTCAATATGACGTCAGAACCACACAGAGATGAGTTTTTGCTTAGAAATATCATAACTGTATACAGCTATAAAATAATCAGCATTGTTCACGCCATCTTCAGATTTCTCAAACCATATATATATTGGTATAAATTTCAAATTCTTATTAAAGGGGAAAACTGTATATTTATAAAGCAATGATCCGATCAGTATAATCATATGCTTCACCTGTTTATAACACTTTAAGTAATAGGAACCTAAATAAATTACAGTTTCTACGAAATCAAAGTTTCTGCCTTACAAAATTCTCCTTAATTATTATAAATATTGGTATATCATGTGAAATAAAATGCTCTATAAATATCCCAATATTAAATACACCAAACCTAACTTCAGCAATATAACAACTTGTAAAATAAAGTAGTTGACTGTGAAAGAGTATTTAATAAAATACAATTACGAAGTTTTGGAGGAAAGTTACAACTTGTGTCATACAGGAATCATTTATTGAAGTTTAATTAAATTACCTTTGCAGTGACTTCTACTTGTTACACTATTTTTCACAAGCACTGCTATCACAGATAGCTGAGTGTTCAACGCGCTCCTTTGCAAATGGAAAGGTGGCGAGTTCGAACCTCACCCGTGGGCAATATATAATTCAGTTAGCTTTTCTCATTTTGAAACGTGTTTCTTATATTTAATCATGAATCATTATATTCTTATTTTACTATTATTATTATTATTGTTTTCATTTCTTATTTTATTCATTATTATTATTGTTTTTAGTTTAAAAATGTGCATTGCAAATAGAAACCCTTATGTAATAATATATCTGCATCTCTTTATCATATATCATCTATAAATTATCTCTTTATTTTTACTTTATTGCATATTTTATCATGCACATAATTTCTCATAAACTATCCAAAGTTTGAACCTCATTCTAAATTCAAGAATAAATAAAAAGAAAAACAAAAGACTAAGGGAGGGGGAGTTTAAAAAATATGAAGCTGGTTTTATTATATGTTGGATGGTGTATATAAAGAGAATTAAGTAATTTAATTCTCTTTTATATACTGTATTCCAAACCAATTTTATAAATCCTAATTTTCATACAATATAGAATCTGCAAGTCTGTCAAACTGGTCGATATTAATCGTGAAGTAATTAAAAAACAAGTAATATAAAAAAAAGTCAATTCCTACTTAGGTCCACAAACAAAAATTAAAAAAATACAAAAAAAATTAAAAATACAAACAGAATTTTTTTAAATTAAAAATTTTAATACGTGAAAAAGTTGTATTAATATCAAGTGTCATCTACTACAAGTTTAAAAAATTGTAATTGAACTTCAGTGGATGAAAAAAAAGTATTTTATTAACGACTGAAAATTTGAACAAAATATACGGAGAGTGTGAGCTAATAGTAGGAATTTAATAATTCTAGATATTCATTTCGCAAACGAGGCAGTAAAGAAAAAAAAAAAATCTCTTGAAACAGGTGGCTCTAAATAAATCTTTCGGAACCATTCTAGTCATTTTTTCGCGGTTTTGCCTCTGCTTAATGAAGTAAAGTTTCAGCTATCAAAAAATCATTTGATTCGGGAAACTTGCCGCAAACGTATATAAGCACAGCGAAGTAACAAGATACAGCTCCGTTGATGCTATATTAAAGCGCCACGTGATTTTTGCACAAAATAATGTGATTGGTTAAATGCACTCTTCGCAAGCGTACTCGTTTGGACGCTTTTTCGCTGGTAACGTAAAAGGGCGTTCGTCAGCTACGTTTCCAGCGTAGTCGTGTGGACGGGCCTTAACTGTGGATATTTTCTGTCCTATTAAAATTTTCAGTTATATATATATTACATTTATAACTAAACTGATGTATATTTAAATTATTTTAAATAGTCTACAATGTATAGTTAATGTAATTTTTTCCCTCTTTTTGTGTGTTTGTGCGCAGATACTGTCATTTGAAAAATATCAAGGAGATTGTACAAGCCTAATACAGGGTTTTACTAGAAGTTTAATGATGAAGGCTACTTCCTTGGTGAAAATTGTTTATCATTTCAGGTAATTATATATGCTAGTTGCTAAAATATTACATAGAGACTGTGACCATATTCTAAATGGAGTTGTATAATAATGAAGTCTGTTTTCGTTGTTAATGATAATGTGAAGTCAGTCACTCAAATAACCACCTTGTTATATAAAATTATTGGTATGCTGATATTTCCTTTAGCTGGATTCTACATTCCAGATATAAGAAATATTAGCATGCAAAATTATTATGAACTCAAGTAGCTTGTGATGTGGCAGTAGTGCCACAGACTTATCCAGAAAGTTTCAGTTAATAGATGTAGTCAGTTTTTTATGTCTGTGTCATGGAGTAGAGACACAAACGTTTTGCAATTGCATCTTCGGTAACTTGGCAATGTCAAAACATTGTGAAGTAGTCGCTTTTAGAATCGACCATTCTTACTGTGTTCATCATGAAGAGAAAGCTATTCTAGAAAAATTAAAAATAGAGGAGCACGCACATTTAATAAATAGATATCTCCTAGTTGTACGCTTTTGCTTTTCGGGAAAAATCGAGAAAATACCAGAATATGCTAGTGCGTGATTTAAAAAGCTTATAAAAGGAGGAAAACCTCTCAATTCAGGAGTTATTGTATGAGTTTGTTTAGAAAACTGCTGTTGTTTACTATAGCGAATTCGCGGTGAAATCGGATTAGCTTTCTCTACGTTTCTTTGTTTTAAATTAAGTTCTGTTGAACGTTTTTAGTAGTTTAAAAGATAACTACTGTGAGATTTTGGGATATTGTACGACTATCTGAGGAACTTTAAGCATTTTGTTTTATTTGTTGTGATAATAATAAATTTTATTCTCTTTTCATCGGATTTCTGCATTCAATTTAAACGAACCCATACGCGCGTAACAATTTCTGGTGTCAGGATTGGGGTTTTGAATGCCAATTACAAGAGCGATGGAAGAACAATTAAGGCAATTTATGGCAGCCTTTGCTGCATTTAAAGAAGAGATGAAAGTTCTGTTAAAGTAAGATGAAAGCTTATCAGGCAAAGATAAAAGCTGGGCAACAAGAGATGAAAAGAGAAATTACCTGCATAATAGAAAATAAATTTGAGGCTATGGAAGGCAGAATAGACGCGGTTGAAAATAAATTTGGACAAATTGAAGAGAAAGTTTCTTCTGTCAAGGAACAAATAGAAGAGAGAGAGTTTCTGCCGTAGAACAACAAATCGATTACATAGTTTCTTCTGTGAAAGAACAAATAGAAGAGAGAGTTTCTGGCGTGGAACAATAATCTGATGATAGGGTTTCTGCTGCCGTCGCTAAAGAAGTTCACACTTTAAAGAAGTGCATAGTGACAGGAGGAAGCAATTCTGATGGATTTAAATTATTTCCATGCCAGCTCGTCGTCCCTCCCTGAAGTTATCCACGTATGATGGAAAGACTTCCTGGAAAGTGTATAAGACACAATTTTCTGTAGTGGCGGATGCGAATGGATGGGATTCCCAAGCTAAGGCCTGTCATCTCGCCGCTTTTTTGAGAGCAGACGCAGCAGATATCCTTCAGGCTCTTCCCGAAAACGAAAGGCTAGATTTCGAAGCGGCGCATTGGAGCTGCGGTTTGGAGAGAAATGTTTGAAAGACTGCAGTAGGCTTTAATTAAAATCCCGCCAACAAAAGCCCACGGAAACACTCCAGAAACTCGCCACAGATGTTCAAAGGCTGTCTCATCTCGCCTTTTGGATTGCCCGACAGAAACAAGGGAAATCCTGTCCCTGCAATACTTGATCGAACGCATCCGGGATCCTGAAATACAGAAAGCTCTATGAATGGCGGATGTTAAAGATTTGAAAAGCGCTCTAGTGTACGCCATGAAATTCGAGGCTGCACAGCAAGCAACTCATAAAGACCGCCACTAGTCAAAGCTGCTCAAGTTCAAAAGCCAGGGGACTAAATGGCTGCCCGTCTAGATCATTTAATCCGACAACTCAGTGCCTTGAAACGGAATATTAGTGACAAGAAACCGACTTTAAAGTGTTGGAACTGTGGAGCTGAAGGACACATATGGCGGAACTGCAGAATACTCCAGGTTACGGATGTTAAGATCGCTCCTAGGAAGCAGCAGGAAACTAATTAGTGACCATCTCTCGGGGCGGAGGTTTCCAAATAATGAAAAGCCCCAGTGTAAAGCGTATCAGATTTCTGCAGTGAGAGGCGGCAGTAATGGACTTTTTATAATAGGACATATTAATGGAGTTCCTTGCATTATGACCATATGGCGATAGATACAGGAGTCAACGCTATCATCATCCGAAAAATTTAGCTCAACACAATTGGGAAGCAAACTTATCAGGACGCCCTGCGTCACCCTCCAGACTGTGCCCGGTGAGAAGTTCGACGGACGTTAACATCACGTTTGGAAGTGCCGCTTTCCATCACATAGCATATGCGGCAGATATTACTGATCCTTGCATACTCGGAAGAAAATACAATTTTTCCTTGGACTTTAAAAATAACGAATTGCATTTTGCCTCTGAGGACATAGAGTTATTTGGAATTAATGATTAAGGAGTTAAATCTCTCCATAAAATCATAGCACAAGACAATAAATATCACAATACCGACAAGAACAAAAATTTTACTTCCTGGATCCATAGCCAAAAACAGAAATTTTCTCTACGGCATCATAGAATATTCCAACAACTGTAATAGCCCGAAAGGAGTACTAGTAGCCTCAGCACTCGTCGACTTCTCGAGAATCGTTATCCCGGTGAGAATTGCCAGTGTAACTGGGAAGGCGAGAGTTATTAAGAAAGGTGAAGTGATTGCAGCATGTACTCCAGTAACCAGCGTTGTGTTATGAAATTGTTATGTATTATTTTACTGTGAAGAGGGATTCTTAGTGAATAAGGTATTTGTAATGTTCTTATTTAAGAGTTAACGTTTAATATATAGTAAACTTTTTCGTTCGCTTACGGCAAAGCTCTTTTAAGTTTAGCTGAAGAGCTAAAGGCTATGCAGCTAAAGAGTGGGACTTTTTTTTTTACTTCCGTTCTCACAAAGCGGTAACTTTGCGGTCAGCTGCAATTTCCCCTGCTTTTCTTTCGGGGGGGGGTGACCACGTGTTTTGGGTTAGGAGGCGAGAAAGTATTTTTGACCTTTCTGAAGAAGAGAACTGTGTGATATGGTTATTACTTACTGGTGTCGCAAGTTTAACTGAATTACGATTGAAAATATTCCTGTGGTTGCGCGGCAACGAGGGTTTGTCATTTTAAAAGAGAGGACTGATTTTCTTAGAATGTTTATTGGTTTATTGCTCTTGTTCTAGTTGGCTACAGAGGATTCCAGTTTTGTTTAAAATTGGCTAATTTTTAATTTTAGTGATGTTTGAGCCGATAGGGAATTAGAGGCATTACATTTTGAGCGTCAACCAAGGCTTCTTAAGCTGTTGCACGAGAGGCAGGAGCAGATTTTGTGAGATTTTTTTTTTGAGCGAGTCCTTACCTACTCTTCTGAAGGGAAGCGGAGGGGGCAGCCGCCGTTCGCGGTTAAAGTTAAGGCTTCCCCATGGTTTTGGGCTACGGACACCCGTCCGAACGCATGGCGGACTCCCTTCTTGACAGACGTGGGCGATTATGATGGAAGATCTGGGTAATAGGTCTAGTGTTATACCTGACCGGCAGATTTTGTTTGAAAAATTTGTCGCTGGCATTTTTCCCCCCTTAGGGAAGAATTGAGTTCGAATTGCTCGCGCTAAAGTTCCAGATTACTTTGGAAAATATGGAAAGAGAGTAGTCGTTATTCCCTTATGTTTGCCGTTGTCGTCGTCTCCTAAATTCTGCCGTGGTCTGTTGTCCATCTCCTGCGGTTATCTTCAGAGAAACTTCGAAATGAAAGGGAAGGCTGATTTTAGAGTTAAAATGCTACTAGACAGAGTATAGCGCTGGAACTAATGAAAAAATTCTCGTTGTACCTTGAACAGACTTCAGTATCGGTTTTCCTGACAACGATGAAATTTTGTACATTGTTTCGATGATTTGTGACTAGATCCGGGCATCTCCCCGGGTCCGTGAGACTTGTGTACGCGGATTCCATGAGTGAATTTTTGTTTCCTCTCATTTAGATGTTTTTTCTACTAGTGTTTTGTCCATATAGAGGGAGTGATTTTTTTTTTTTTTTTAATGTTTAATGTTCATGTTTATTTAATTTCAATATGCCTTAAAATAAATATTTCTGAAAAGAAATTTTTCAATTAAGTTATTGCAATTTCACTATTATATCAAGTAATTTAATTGATTACTAAATGTCAGAGGATAAATTGTTCCATATTCTAAATTATTAATTATTGATTTGTAGTATTCATACTCGTAATTAGAGATAAGCGATCAAATGAGAAATTATGAGAAAATTTGTAGATTATCTTTTATAGGGGTAGTCTGGCCAGCTATCTAAAATTATGTTTGGAATATTTAATAAATGTGTTTGTTGATTTAGTTATTTTCGAAACTGGGTAAATCTTATTGTGGTAGTAGAAAAATTAATTTTATGTGTTTTATGTGTGGTAGTACAAAAACTAATTTTATGCGATCGACTTAGTTAATTAATTTTAACTGGTGATTAGACTTCTTTAGAGTGAGACTTATCTTTCTCTGGTGTTTTGAAGAGTTCTGTGTTGTAATTTAAATGTAAAGTGTTTTAGGGCTATCTCTAGAGTTGCATTGAAATTTATGTGTTTTCAGGTTGGAGAGCTGATATCGTTTTATCTTAGAGAGAGATAGCGTGTTAATGATTGTCTTGCGGAAGTACATTGAACATTTTGGCTTTGATAAATAATCTTTGATTCTACCAAAACACCAAGGAGGATATTTTCCTTTTGATTTAAAGAGTAGGAAAAGTTTTATTATTATCAGAGTAGTAGTTTGTTTGTTTTGATTTTCTTTTATGTCGCGACACTAGAAGGAGAAGTAAAGAAGTTAAAAGTTTTAAAGTAATTTTAATAATATTTATTTTTTCTCCGTAACAGTTGAAAGAAAGAATAACAT